CAGCGCTGCGCGCTCCCTGCACCTCCACAAAGGCAGCGGCCTGTCTGCATGGGGAGCAGCTCCTACAGCTCACCAGGACCAGGCAGGCAGGGATGCCGCTGCTGCAGCTGGCCTTAGACCTTCATAGCTGGCCCTGCACATCACGCCTGTGAGGCTGCCTTCAGTCTCTCTTACTTGAAGGAATGAGTGAAGCTGGCTCGCTCACAAGGGTGGGAGCCGTGCCTGACCAGCTGTGAAGCAGAGTGGCTGCCGGTTGTAGGTGAGGGTGTGAGAAGAGGGTTCTTCCTCAGCCCCATCCACAGTCGATCCCAGTCTTGCAGCAGCCCCTCTGCTTTTCCAGGCCTCCTCGTCTCCCCACGTACAGTATTCTCAGCTTGCAAACTTTTTGCTTCAGGCTCCAGCAATACTGGGCAAATGATTCAGCTGTACTAACACAGGCATGATTGTTTTGGAATTCAGGGCCTGACTTTCTCATTGACCCGAGTCTTAGCAGGCTCACAGTTTTCTAGGCACAGCTCTATGCAATTAGAGGTGTTATATAAGTATACATGCACCACCAGTTTCACAGCTACTGCAGGTCACACACCTTCAGATTGATGTTACTTTGCTGTTTGACAGCTCTTCACATCTTGGGCAGAGAGCAGCCCCACCACACAATCCTGCAGGCCCGGGGGTGCAGCTGATCCCCTTGGCACAATGCAACACCAGGATGAGGGAGATGAGCCCCCAGCATAGCGAGCAGCTGCACCTTCCTCCCAGGCATGTGACTGCAGCTTTGCTGTACTGAAAATAGAGATGTCAGTCACATTATGCAGGGCACACGCACATTTGACGTCTGTGAGACTGAGCTGTGCAGAGGATGATAAATCAGGCCAGGGTTGCCTTTGCTCAGGGAGGTGTTTGCATTTATGTGCTTCTGCAACCTGCTCCATCTCTAGGATGACCACAGGGAGTGTGAGAACCAGCACACAGCTTGCCTACAGCTCTGGTGTACAGAGAAGCGATGCAGGACTGCTACAAGCTGCTGTTCCAGAGCTGCAGGAGAGATCTGGCCAGTATGAGGCACAAACCAGAAAACTGAACAAACAGAAGAGGGAAGTGGGTTCCAAAGAGACACTGATGGATCTGTTTTGCAGATCTCGCAGTGTTTCCCTGCTCTGAACCCACACAGCAATGACAGCCTGTTCAGTGGCAGCTTGCAGCTAGAGCCCTGGCTGGGCTTTGCTGTCACCAGGAACTGTCCTCATGTCTGGGCACAGCTAGTTGCAGGGGTAGGATGAGAGCACAGGTGGGCCCTTCACAGGGCTACAAGAAGCCAGGTGCTGCAAGGAGAATCCAAAGAGCCCTGCAAGGAGCTGCGTGCAAGGCTGCAGGTTCAGCCTGCAGCATCAGGAGCTCAGGAATAGGGGGAGAGGTGGTGTCTCCAGGACTTTCTCCTGCTCATGGCCTCCAATTCTCCCCCTTGTCCAGGAGCGAGATGAAGCGTTGGATGATTTCACTGGCCCCAAACCGGCGAACCAAGTTTGTTTCATTTACATCCAGACTTTCTGGTAAGATTCACCGTGTGGTGTCCAGGAGCTTTTCACCCCCACCCAGCGTCCCTTCTGTGCTGATCTCCCCATCCAGCCCTACGCTGGAGCCCTCTGGAAGCCAGACTCTGGGCTTCCCTTACATTTTCACCCACTTGTCTCCAGGCCTGGCTCTGACTTTGTTCCCCTGCAGCCCAGGGTGGACTGCACCAGCACTCTCCACCCCTCTGTGCTGCTCAGTGGAGCAGCAGTGCAGGGACTTGTGCAGGACCAGCTCCCTTCCCTGCAGCACTCCTCCCCATTGCGCCTTCCCTCACCCCATGGCCTCAGTGATGTTTCTCACCGAATCAGAGGAAACATTCTCAGAGCTCACAGAGTTACACCTACCTGAGCTGCTTCTGCCTCAGTCCATCCCTCACTCTCACCCTGTCCCCCTGCAGATTGCCCGCAGATCCAGTGTGTCCACCCCTACGTGGCCCAGCAGCCAGATGAGCTGTCCTTGGAGCTGGCTGACGTCCTCAACATCCTGGACAAGACAGATGATGGTACGGGGGGTGGGACAGGAGCTGTGGAAGGGTGGGCTTCTCCCTGGGCAGGCAGCTGCTGAGCAGCCAGGAGGGGTCCTTTGGCCACAGAGAGAGAAGGCAGTGTCAGCGTTGCAGCCGAGAAAGCTGGCAGCAGAGCAGGGTGTGACTGCCTCCTCCTAATGCTCTGCAAATCCAGGCTGCCCTGCGTGCAGGGCAGGGCTGATGCAGCCACCAGTGTGTAACCCAGAGCTGTTCTTACCCTGAGCAGCCAACAGCAGCTTCCAGAAGGCACCACCAGCTCTGTAGGCTCTTTCACAGCAGCTGTGCCAGGGTGGGAGCAACGGTCTGTCCTTCCCCACTGACTCCTGTCTCTGTCTCTGCTTAGGCTGGATATTTGGGGAGCGGCTTCATGACCAGGAGAGGGGCTGGTTCCCCAGTTCTATCGGGGAGGAGATCCTGAACCCCAAAATCCGAGCCCAGAACTTGAAGGAATGTTTCCGGGTGCACAAGTCAGATGACAGCCAGCGGAGGAAACTGGGCAGCAGGAGCCGCCAATGACTGCTGGCATCCCCGAGCGTGGGGAGCAGCCTGGGAGAGGAGCAGAGGACAGAGGCTGCCAGCTGGGGGGACACGGTGGAGGTGCTGGGGGCCGTGGCACGGGACCTGGTGTGCCACACCAAGCATGTCCACCCTTGAAAGCATGGACCTCAGTTCCCAGGCGGCCTGCTGTGCTTTCTACAGTGCTGAGCCCTCCTTGGAAAGCAGTGCTTCGAGCTGGCTGAAATCACCCCTTCACAAAGAGCATGAGCCCAAACTGGCACCACACGAAGGCCCTGGGTGCCAACCAAGGGAACCTGGGGCAGCAAATGGAACTCGGCAATTAGCATCGTCCACTCACACCTCATTGCTACCATTTGAGTTAGGGGCTCTCTTAAAGCCGCACCTCATAGGGATGGGGATTCCGGTGGAGGAATCGTCTCACATCCCTTCACACAGCCCACTGGCACCAGGCCTGGGAGAAGCCCCCAGGACTCCATTTCCCCAAGGAAGTTGATGAAGGCATCTCCTGGGTAGACCCTCGACCTGCTCCCCAACGCTCTGATGTGCTCTGAAAGCCCTGCTCCACCAGCAGTCGCACCTCAGAGGCCCCAACCTCCGTTCCTGCTCACCTGAAGGCCTCAAAGTGCATCTGGGCCCTGCCCCATGGCTCATCCCCTCCCTCAGCTGCTGCAGAGGCATGGCACCATGGCTTTCCCAGGCTGATCCGGTGCTTTTGGGAAGACAGGCTGCTCATGGTCTCTGCTGCGCCCACCGCAGCATGCTGCAGGGCTCCAGGAGTGCCAGCGGGCAAGCAGCATGCAGTGAATGACAGCACCCCTGGAGCTGCTGTGCTGCACGGTAGAAGGCTCAGCAACATGCCTGCATGCTTGTAACCCACACCTCCAGCTGCGTGCAGCCTCCCTGTACAGTTCATGTAAATACGCAGTCCTCTGCCGCAAGCAGAACCAGACCATCACTTGCTCCAGTTGTGGCACTGAGCATCGCATGAAGCCCAGGGCACAGCGCCCCAAACAGCCCCACATGTGACCACAGCAGAGAGCACTGGGCGTACAGCATGGGCTGTGCTGCTCCTGAGCTGCAGCCACCACCCGTTATGGAATCAGGATTATTGGGCATTTCTGTAACGCAGCAAGGAATCTTCCAGGCACTGCCGTGTGCTGCAGTGGTGTGCGGGCTGTATTCCAGAAGGGGACACAGATCAGTGTGGGGTCCTGGTTATGCGAGAGCTGTGCAGTGAGCCCAGGATGCAGCTGGGGGAAGATGCAGCAACAAAAGGAACACAGAAGGGGGTCCGCCCTTGGGCCAGCTCCATGCCACCACACACACAGGGCCCCAGAGAGGGCTGGAACAGGTCTACAGCCTCCAGCTTGATGCAGTGGGCTCACCTGATGGGGATGCCCCAAGTCAGGCCCCCAGAAGAGCACACCACAAGCACTGTCTGAGCACAATCAGACCTCCGGGTCCAGGTTCAGACCTGGCAGCAGCTGCAAAATCACCCACGCGAACCCCAGAGGAGCTCCAGCCTCAGGCAGCCCTCTGAGTTACCCACTGAACTGAGTACATCACAGCCCATCCAGTTTAGCAGAGCCACAGCCAACACAGCCCTGTGCTGAAGCCCCACAGGGGCTGTTTAACACTACAGAAGTGCTCCCTCACCCACCAGAAGCAGCTGTTCACCAGTGGAGGGGCCCAGATTCCCCACTATCAGGATACCAGCACCTGGCTGTGTTGCCTGTGGGAAGGAGAGGGACCCATGGCTGCCCACGCGCTGTCCCCTCACACCCTGGACTCGCTCCAGCTCTGTTGTGACTTCTGATGACTTCAAACCTTAAGCACAGGCTGTGCCATTTCCAGGCACCATGTGGCATCCAGTGTTATTTCCTCAGACCCGGCCATGCACGCCTTTTCATGGGTGTGCAGCTGCAGCTCCCACAGCCTCTGCCAGGCTGCTGCAGGGCACTGAGGGGAACTTCTCGTCGTCTCGTTTTCTGTGTGATGAAATACAGCTGAGTGAGCCAGCGCCACAGCAGCATGCCGGCATCTCCTTCCTCCCTGTCAGCGCCGCAGGTCCCCGCCACAGTGCAACCACTGAGGGGAATGGAAGCGCAGGCAAGGGGTGGAAGAAGGGAGGGATGAGAACACGGGCCGGGTGATGCACGGGGAGAGTTGGGATGATTTACAACACCTGAGCAACCCTTTCCCACCAAGGGATGCTGTGCAAAGCGATCCCCAGCACCATTACCTCTGTAGCCCACCCAGCTGTGGGCTGATACCGCTGCCGTGGAGCTGCCAGGGGCTCAGTGCTCTCAGCAGAGCTGCACACGAGGAGCAACGTCAGTGTGGCAGATGGGGAGCAGACAGAGGAGTGTTGTGGTACAGAAATCTTTTATTGAGTTCAGGAAGCAGAGAACTTTCTCAGCGTGATGACAACCAAGGCCACGAGCACAGATGTACCCAGGAGGGAGGCGATGACAATGGCACCGATAGCTCCGGGCCCCAGCGAGCCTGCAGGGACAGAAATCACAGTGGGGTGAGGCTGGGGGGTCCTGAGGGGAAGGGCAGTGGAGTTCACCCCTTTTGCCCTGTGCACCGTGGCCCCCAGGACACCCTCCTGTCATCTTCCCCCCCAAAGTGTCCCAGTACTCGTGTCCCCTTACAGCTGCAGTGTGGCCCCATCCTTGGGCTCCTGCCTGGCCCCCCGTCCCAAGCCAGCCGCCAGGGACGTGGAAGCCAGCACAAATGGGATGCTCAGCACTCTGCTTTCCTGTTACATGCACTCCCAGAACATGCTTGTTGTGCAGCAGCGGGCTGCTGTAGTTGAGGTACTGGTGGAGTTGCTCACACCCTGTTTTCAAGGGCAGAATTTCAGGCACACTCCTACCTGGGCTCAGGTGTTTGCAGTAGTGCCAAGCACAGACACAGGGCAGGAGGAGGTCATGGCAGTTGCTCTGGGGCTGGTGGGCATTGCACAGCAAGACCTGTCCGCAGGGAGACGGCCCTGAGCAGGCAATGCCTCCCAACAGCAGTATGGAGGAGGGTGCAGGCCACCTCCAGCCCCCTGCCAGGAGATGACAGCCCAGAAAGAACAAACGCACAGCGAGCATTTCCCGAACGGCAGCCCCGTACCGTCCCCAGCATCGAGCCGGTGCAGGTGGGTGGTGTCCTCGGGCTCCAGCTCGGAGGTGTACGGGGCAAAGGCGGTGGCATCGGAGAGCCGTGCGGTGGTGGTGGCATCGAAGGGGCCGGATCCGGAGGGCAGCTCGGCCGGCTCGTTCCACAGCGTGGGCAGCGGGCCCCGTGGGTGCTCTGCTGGGAGAGGAACCGCCGCGGTCACGGCTGTGTGCGAGTGGCTCGGGCCGGGCGTGCAGAGGATGCGCAGCACACAGACCCCGCTGGGAGCCCCAGCTCCCCCTGCACCCCCACACCGCGCCGGGAGATGAAAGCGGCACCGCGCTCTGATGTTGCCCTTCGCATCCTGTTATTCCTTCCCCCCCTGGGGTTGGGGAACGCGCCACAGCCCTCCCTGTTTGCGTGTGGCTGAGCGCAGCGCCGCCATCAATGCCCGGCTTGTTGAGGTGGGCCCTGGCGGCGGCAGGAGACATTCCACCGCTCCCTGTGAAACCGCTGGGAATGTCACACCGCGACGGGGAGAGACGGGAAAGAACGAGCAGCGTCCAACGCCGGGACAACTGAACCGAGACGGCGGTTCTCCGCGCCGGGAAGGGAAGGACAGAAGAGTCAGAGCCGACAGCGTGGGACGAGGCACAGAGCTGCCGTGCGCCGGAGGGACGGGGTCAGCCGGCAGCAGCACAGCGAGCCCTGCGAGGCTGCCCAGAGCCCCTGTGGGGCTGCCTCTGCAGGAGGGGCGAGCCCCGGAGGATCAGCTCTGCGCTCGGCAGCAGCACCTCACGTCCCAGCAAGCGCCAAGGAGCAGCTCTGGCCTTCCTCAGAGCCGCCTGCAGAACCAGAGCGCTGCTCTGGGGTAGATCAGGAAAGACCTTTCTGTGCCGAGACTTTCACTGAGCTCCCAGCTTAGCTCTGGCCCCACAGCAGCCCAGCAGCCTCAGGCTGAGCTCTGCAATTCCCACAGTGACCCACTCGGGGCAGCACTGTGGAGCAGCAGCAACGCTGCATCCTCACACGGTCAGCCCATCTATGATCCCCACGTCAGAGGCAGCATCCTGGGTTCCCTACAAGATTTCTGTGCCCCACAGTGGCTCCCCAGAAACACCCATACCCTCAGCAGGGCCTCTCCCACCCCATCCTGCAGGGCTGGAGATGTGCATCCCTTCCATAGAGTACCATGTCCCAGAGATCTCTTCTGTAGCCCCTGTAGGCACATGTTGCTTCTGGAGAAATCACAGCAGCTCTCAGAGCAGGGCACAGGACTTCTTTCTGGCAGCCAAGGAAGAAGGAAGTAATCTAATTTATTATTTTTTTTTAAATGATCTTGGTGAGTTTTAAGACCTGGACAGAGGTCTTGAAACTTGAAAGCCAAGTATAAATGGCAAAGTAGCATCTGCTGCTCCTGTTCACAAAATAAAGCTGTAGAAATAAAGAGCTACTGAGAAACACACTCAAACACATTGTCCATCACAAGGGCAAGGTGTGCAACACCTGAGTTATGTGCCAGCCTCAGGGTCAGAGCCAGCTGTAAGGAAACCCACCCTCAGCACCTGTAGGGTTGCTTTGCCCCAGGGCAGCTCAGCAGGAGGGCACACAGTGGGTATGAGTGGGTGCCCCTGCGCTGCCTGCTGCCCTGCGGGATCTCACCCAGCAGTAACTGCCCTCAACACCACAGTACTGACACTCCACAGAACACCTAAACACACTTGGAAGCACTTCAGGGAAAGACATGGAACAATCTGAATTATTGGGGTTTTACGGCACAGAGGTGGAACACAGAGAAAAACAGACTAGGAGTAACCCAGTGTTGGCCAGCAGGCCAATTGGATGGCACCTCTTCTTTCTCCCCTACTGCACTGCATACCCATCCTCTCTGCAATAGTTGCTATGGCTGAGGCCAGAAAAACAAAGATAGTGGTTACTACACTACAAAGAAATAACAGAACGGGTTTGCTGATCAATACAGAGACCCACTGAGATAACAGCTACAGGGACTGGGGGGGGATCCAGAGGCACCAAAGGCGACACAAAGCAGCTGTGTCCCACCCTTGGTGAGCCTGCACAGCAATGAGGTTCCTGCACCCCAGGTACTGGATAGCTGAAAGGTAAGACTGGGAAAACCTTCACAAGGAGGAACAAATCTGAAGGGCCCTCAGGGTTGGACCACGCGGCAGATGGAGCCGTCCAACACCAGTGAGCACCACTTCCCACACAGGCTGACTTCAGGACCCCGTTACCCCCAAGGTCTGTCAACAGATGACAGTAAGATGTTCCCCCTCCACAGGGTGATGCCTGCAGGGACAGAAAAGCACGTGCTCCAGGAGGACAGGTGCTCGTGTGTCTGACAAGAGGCGGTGCACCTGCTGTACCCTGAGTGTCGCACAGCCGTCCATCACTCACAGCCACTCACAGGTTGACTTGATGCCAAATTCCACAGCTCACATCCTTTCAGAACCCTGGGGCTTTTCTTCTCTGCTGCAGATGTTTGCACCTTTTTACACTGGTTACAAGGAGGTGACCTGCTGCCTTCTGGTGTAACTCTCCACCTCCAGCCCAGTAACTTCGTCCAGGAGATGACAAGTGTCAGTAATTTGCAAGGAGCATCTGTGCTGAGCCAGTTGTCTACAAAGAGCTGCATCCAGCCTGGACAGACCTGCTGGAATGACTGCAGCTTTAAGAAGTTTACAAACTATTTACTTCTCACATCCTAGTGCTCAAACTTCAAGAGCTTCCTAATAACCCTCTCACTGTATTACCCTTGAGAACAAAATCAGAAAAGAGTCCTCAGATGAGGCCTTCTCCCATTCTTTTCCCCTTTAGCATAACAAAGATCATCTCCTGCTCTGTGTCTTTCTTCCCCCGACCACCCCGCTACAGTGTAATGTATTTCCATGCAAGCTCAAAACAAAAATCCAGGAACCCACATCAGCATTCAGACACAAAACACACGACTCAAAGCAAGGCCTTGCAGAGCCCTCCTGCTGCCCTGCCCTTTCACACGGGGCTCTGAACCTGCAGAATCATGAAGGTTGGAAGGACCACTCAGCTCACACAGTCCAACCACTGACCCACATCCCTCAGTGCACATCCACCCTTTCCTTGAACCCACCCAGGAATGGTGGCTGCCCCGCTCCTAGGGCAGCTGTGCCAGTGCCTCACTGCTCTTTTGGAGAGGAAATTTGTCCTAATACCCAACCTGACCTTGCCCTGGCACAGCTGAATGCCATCCTCCTCTCATCCTACCACTGTTACCCACGAGCAGAGGCCAACCCCCACCCCATCCTTCAGGCAGTTGTAAAGAAATCAGCTTCAGTAAGAGCAGACAGTCGCTCTTTGCAGTCTCGCTGTGCTGTAGGATTAAGTGCCACCTATGTTTGAAGGAAGAGGAACTGAAAAGCATTTGGAGGTGCAGAAGTCCCCCCGTTTGATCTCTTCCAGTTGCAGTAGATGATGCACGCTGCGGGGCTCTGCTGCTTTCCCACGTTGCACAGATGCAGCCCTGGGAAGAGCTCAGCAGCTCAGAGGCATGCCAACTTTCTGGAGTTGCAGAGCCCCGATGGCAGCGTTCAGGGAAGCACACAGCCCAGCAGCGCCCGCACAAAGCTCTGCTGCCCAGATATGGAAACCACGTCCATGAGGACAGGAAGGCCGTGCTGAGCAGGGCTGTGCCAACACGGAGGGCAGGGGCTGGCCGGCCCCAGGTAGCCGCAGCAGGCATGGAGCCAGAGCAGGGCTGAAAGGAGGCCTTGTGGAGCACAAAGGGCAGCCTGTGGTGTGCAGCACTGCAAGTGCGAGCTGCGGTTCTGATGAATGTGAAAGGAACTTGTTTACAGAAAGGCTGGGCTGCGCGCGCGCGCGCGCGTGTGTGTGTGTGTGTGTGTGTGCGCGCACCCAGAGCGCTGCCTGCATGCTCTTCCCTTCTTGGTCAGCACAAGGCAGGAAATTTCCTTTTCTAACACGGCGAGATGCAGAAAAATTCCACTGTGCACTAAAAGCCCTGAGCACAGGACAGGGATGGGTAACTGTTTGTACACAGCAGAGAACTGTTCTGCTCTGGGGTAGCTCACAGCCTCAGCTTATTCCCCAGGGCGCAGCTCAGAGGTAGCACAGAACAAACGTAAGGAGGCCTCACACATTTGAAAGGCAAGAGTTAGCATTGAGCCTCTGCTGTGCTCCAGCATCCCAGCACACATCCACCAGTGCAAAGCTCCCAGCCCCACAGGGAGAGCCAATGGGGGGAAGTTAAGATAGAGGTGAAGAATTTCCAGCTCACAGTTGCACTGAAAAGCAGCTGATGTCTGCAGAGCAAAAGCAAGCAGTTAAGACAAAGACCTCACCTGGTCTGTGGGAGGAGCACTGCCATTGCTCCTGGGAGCACAAGCACAGAACAAACTGAAACTTGGTGCTTAAATGATCAATGCTGCAGTAAAGGAAAACCAGAGCCCGGTGTTTGAGAAGGAACATATCCAGTTTTTAAGGCTTACTTAGTAGCTACTTTCAAAGGTTTCCCAGAAAAAAGTCATCTCAGAGCAGTGGGATGCAGGGAACACCAGCAGCAGTGCTGCTGCTCCATCCCTGCAGACACTCGGCCAGGTGCAGTGCTCAGCTCCTCTCCCTGTAGAACAGCCCCTCCAAAAACAGACCTGCACGGCTGCCAGCCAGGCCCTCCTGCTGGGCACAATGTAAGAACAGGCTGCGAGGGAGCTGCAGCCTTCCTCCAGCTCTTGGAAGTCCGAACAGTTCAAGAAAGTGAGCGCTGTGCTCTGCTGTCACACCGGCCTGAGCCACTCATTAGGTCCCATCTGCATTTCAGAGGCTCTAAGGGGAGCAGATAGGGCCAAAGTTGACAACCTCCTCAACAAAGAGTGCCCGACGCAGCAGGGCTCACACCAACCCTGCTCCCCTCACAGCCTGTTTGCTGTTTCAGGCCGTTCATTATAGCCACCTCTGGGTGGAAACCCAAACCATGCACACCGCTCAGCTTTAGACTGAGCTCAGTGTTGTCACAGATGCTTTCATTGCTGTACTTGCAGCACTGGTGAAGTGCTGTGCTGCAGGGAGAGCACAGAAGGCACCAGAGATCGGCACAGTCTTGAGCTGGAGGAGAACGTGTCTCTCCATGATTCAGAATGCTTTCCCACCAGCTGCAGAGCACAGCCATGTCCTGCAGCACACCCGGCTCCTGGGCTGCAGCCACCAGCACTCACACAAGCACTGCTGCTACTCAGCCTAACAGAAGTGACAGATTTATTCAGGTTTCCCCAACAGAAACCTGGACTCAGGATGGAGAGGACGTTCTTACTCAGCACTACCCACCGACTCCAAAATCAACTTCCACCACTCAACCATATTTCAATAAATACGTACGGCAGTTTTTAAGGAGGAAAAGAAGGACGAAGCGACAGGAGGAGAGCAGAGCTGAGTGAGCATCTCCTCTTCTTTCGGAGTTCAAATGCAGACGCAGACCCTTACCTGCCAGCGCAGCGGGCAGCAGGAAGCACAGTGTCAGCAGGAGCGGGCGCAGGGCTCTGTGGCAGGGCATGGCTTCCCTCTGGAAAAGTGCTGGCAGAAATTCTTAAACTCCTCCAAGTAGGAAACAAGTCGGAAATGTCGCTGGTATAATAAAAAGCTGGGTCTGGTCAGGTCAAAAATTCCTTCACAACAGCAAGTGGACAGAGAGCGCGCAGCCCAGCAGACTCCCTCTCTCCCTGCCTCCCCAGCACACCTCCTCCCAAGGCAGCTCCACCCTCCAGGACCTGTGCCTCCGAGCCCATAGGCAGCGAGGCCATTTGCAGGGTCCCCGCCGCCAGCACACAGGGCAGCTGTTGGCAAAGCCATCCCTGAGCTGTGGGATGCGCTCAGGATGCCTACCCACAGGCAGCGTGGGACAACACGAGCTGCATAGGGGCAGACACCCAAAACTGAGCCACCACGAGGGATGGGGTCTCCTGTGTGCAGGGCAGGGGTGGTCTGGCCCAGATGGGCACAGCAAAAGAACAAAGGCCTCCATCTTTTTAACTAAATACTTTAAGACAGAGGCAGAGCAGCTCCACGGCATGCTTGTTTTGTGGGTAGACCAGAGGTGGACTAGCAGCCACAACTGCCCCTTCGTGGTGTCCTCCAGTGGACGTGCTGTGCCATACCACAGCAGCATCCTCCTCCGAGCTGCGCTACAGGCACTGCCTCCTCCCACAGCACTCAGCCCTTGGTCCCTCGGTTCTGCCTCCAGATGGGTTCACAAGAGCTCCCCAGCAGAGGAAACAGGTTGGTTTTCAGTCACACGTGCACTGATAGAGACTTGGGAAAGAGCAAAGTGAACCAAGGGAGGGCACTCTGATTTGCCAGCAGGGGAATTCTGAGTATTTTAAAAAATTATTGCAACAAGATGGTTTGAGGATGAAATATTTCACTTCTGTTCATCCCCAACATCAGTCCTTTCTGACCTGAAAACATAATGGTTTTATCATGTTACAGATGCAGAGTTTTCTGGGAAGGGCTCCCTCTGCATTTTGGCTGACAAGAAGCCAGACCCAGCTCTGCTGCCCTTTAACAGCACTGCCTGGTGCCATTCTTGGTGACAGTGCTTTGCTGCGAGGGGACACAGGAAAACAAAGGACTGCACACTGCCCCTGCAGCAAAGCGAGAAGTTTGGGATTGTAACACCGGTGACACATGCTCAAAAGAAACCTCAGATCTGTCGCATCAAACTCCACATCATCTTTCAGAGCCCAGCACAGCCCTGTTAGCCATCCAGGTTCACATCCTGTCTGAAAAGGAGACTGAAGTGCATAAATGCATCACCTACAGACGCAGTGCTGTAGCTCATCTTCCCAACTCTACCGAAACAATGAGCTCTGTTCCCAAACAGGCCCTTTTTGACCCAGAGGGGGACAAGGCGGGTAAGGCGACCTGAGCACGACTGAACACATCATCTTACCTTCATGCAGCAATACAAGTCAGCATATTAAATACTTGAGAACAAGATCTTTTCCCTCCTGGTCCATTACCTGCAGGCTCTCTGAAGCCCCACAAGGTCCTCGGGGATGACAAGTCAGCACACCTTTTCCCTGCGTGCACTGCTGCATTCAGCCATCGCTGAATTGGCCGTGTTCCCCGACTGAGCTGGAAATTATCAGGCTTCTGCTTATTGTAGTATTCCAAAATTAGCTTGCAGAAATGAGATCATACCGTTAAAAACCAAGCACTTCAGAAGTAGACAGCTTGTACATTAAGGTGAATTAGAACTTCAAAACAAGTTACCAGCCTGGACACAAACGGTTCTAAGACCACAGCTACACATAACTCAGGACCACGTATGTCAGTTCTTTACCAACTCGGTATTTCTTGTTGTCACGTGGATGGCTGAAGAACATTCCTCATTAGTCTTTACTGGCACTTTCCACTCAAAATCAAGCAGCAGAAAAAAAAGAAAATAAGCTTTAGTCTAGGAAGGGAAGCCCGCAAGATATCCGTGTGGCCATTACATCAGGAGGGGAATAAAAGCTCTCCTTTAGAGAAGGGAATTGGGGTGAGGGTGGTTACCAACTGGCAGAAGGAAGGCTCCACGAGCACAGGTTTGCACTAACAGAAAGCCAGCCATGGCTTCACCTCTCCTGCATTAATAAGTGGGCATGCACACGTTCTTGTAAGCAGAGAGAGGGACAAAAACTAAAGCTTTCTTGTCAGTGCTGTCCAATCTCAACTGACTGCTGTTTATTTGAACTCTAAAATTATCAAGTAGGAAAAAACCCACCAGTGTTCCTCACCAGGGAAGAAATAAGGCAGCAGTTGTTCCAGATGCTGTGCATTTCCTCATTTCGTGATGAAAGCTGATGAGAGTTGATTCTGGGGTCAGTTTTAGCACCAGGAATTATCTCAAAACTCAGCTTCGACAAAAGCAAGCAGAAAATTTGCTCTCAGATATAATACAACCAGGTTTTATTTAAGTTCTCTCTTTCCCTCCCCTCCCACACTGGCAAAAGTTCAGAGGGAGTTTAAAGTTTTGTAAACATTTTAACTACCCCTCTTCCCCCTTTTATGAATTTACAAAGCAAAGGAGACAGGGAGACCAGATTTGCGACAGTTCCAAGTCTCTCCATGCTATTGGATCCAAAAACTATATACAAGTCTGCAGCAGTCTCTGTATAGTTACTGTACACGTTTGGGGGCTGGGGGAAGAGAGAGGAGGAGGAGGAGAAGGTGACCCCAAAAAATGAATAAATCAAACAAAATAAAATTCAAAGCCAAACTGCTCTTGAGCAACTCAAACTGTTTTCTTTAGGCAGTGATGACAGAGACCTTCATACACCTCCACCGAACCTGCAGCGTAGCTCCCTTTGCAGGCTGTACCCCTCTGGGAATGGGAGATGGGACCAGGGGGCTGAAACTAAGTGCATTTGGCAGTTTTAGGTTTGTTGTGTGGTGTGTGCACGTGGGTGGGTGGAGAAAGGAAGGCGGTGGCAATCTTCTGGTGAGAGAGAAGGTTGCGATTCCATACTTAAACATTATGGATCCGAGTGAAGGCGCGTGATGCAGTTTTACATGTAGAAGGTGAGCAGGGCTGTCACTGCACTTAGCTTCGCCCTCCACAGTCTCTTTCCATTACAAAAGGCATCTCTGCTTGTTAACCAAAGCGCTGTTGGAAATGACAACTAGCTAAGACTGTGGGAGTACAGATGTGAAAGCCAGTGTTCACTCACACCAAAGACTAGAGATCCACATGGTAAAGATCCTACCGTCTCTTAAACGAGACAAATTTGCAGGAGAAGAGCTCAAAATAGACTGGTCCTAACCCTCAGAAGGTACCATTTAAGGGATAGATTCAACCCGAAAGAAGAGATATCACCCCTCTTCCTCCCCACGAGAGCACAAGTCCCCACTTGTCCAAAGAAGGCTGGATATGCTGACAGGAAACTCCAACAGCTTCAACATCACCACCTAACGAAGACACTCGAGCGTTCCCTCCAAAAATAATGTGCTGAGAAGGGCTGGCAGGGGGGTGTGCAACTTCAAACCAACCCAAGCTAAACTGTGCCCGCCACCGCCCTTCTCCTGCTGTTGCCAGTTCTAAGGTTAGCTTATGAATGCAACTCCTGGCTGGGAGAGCACCTCTTGCCCTGAAGGAGCGCAGAAGTCAGTATCTGTGTGGCATTTTGTTTTTGACCAACATCTGTTAACCACAAACTCTCTCTTCACGACTGCAAGTGTTGGATGTGGTAAGAGTAACCAGGAGAGAGAAGCAACGGTTTTTGCAGAATCCCGATTGATTTTTTTCCAGGTATGTCAGTAGAAGAAATCACAGCACAGTGAAAGCTTGCTGCCCAAATGAGCTTTGTTGTGAACAAATCCAATCTCCCACCCTCCCAGGACTCTGAACAAAGTTCACTTGACTCCCAAGCAGATTCTCAAGACAGCAGGAACAACGCCTGTGCAGTCCTGGGCAGAAAGGGTTTGTTGGAGCCAGAAGCAGCAGCCTGAGATGACCGATTCTGTGATTCACTGCGAGGCGAAGAAGAATGCATGGTGGAGAATACTGTGTCCAAAATGGAGAATCCAGGGTTAACAGATGCAGCAAAAGCCAGTTGATTTGCACATGCTCAGTAGTCTTCCAAAGTCTCTATTTCTCCCATGTTGAGCCGCTCTGATGAGGCATTCACTGAAAACCCTGTAAGCCAAAATGAAGTCGTGTTAGATCTGGCTGCGGTATGTTTTACATGATGCAATGCAGCTGTTGCATGCAGCAGCTGTTAAAGTGAATAGTAAAAACCAAGTAAAAACCCAAAGGAAAACTGCATATGGACAGATGCAGTTACCCAGATTGCTGTTTTTTTTTCTCTTTAGTAAGTCAAAGATAAAGTGTATACTTAGCTGAGTATCACAACCAGCAGAATCACAGCCCCAGCTTCCATTGAGGAGGTACCTGAAGAGCTAGTGCCAGATCTAAGCACTGTGGAGATGTGGCTTGGCAGCCCCTCAGAAGGCAGCACGTTTGGGTCAAGTGTACTTGAAAGTGCCCATCACAGCACTTACACAGGCAAGAGGTAGAAACATGGTCCGTGAACTCAGAATGGCAGTGCTGTTCATGCTCAGCACTTCAGGAGCAGTGAGCAATTCCACTCCTTCCTTTTGAAGCACAGGTGCATGCGGAAATTCCATGCACTTCCATGGCTGTGTTGATTTAATAGAGTCCCCTAGCTCAGACAGACGACATGAATGTGCACAGAAGTACACAGGGCCACAGAGAGGGCTCAAAATACATCTGAACTTCTACCCAAACTCTTAACAGCGCTGAGGACGTTTTGACTTACTTCTCGTTCTTGTCATCATTTTCTAAAGGAAGAATTCTAATGTTTCACATGATGCAACTTTGCCACTGAAATCCCATTGTTATTTTTGCACCAATCTCATATGAAGTGTAAGAAAAGACTAATCTGTTTTGTGTAAAGGTTGCTTAACACAAACCTAGCAATTTCATTGCCTTGAGTCTGCTACGTAACTTCCCCCATGCTACAAAACAAACTGCTTTTCACAGCCATCACCTTC